GGAACATTGTCTTAACACTCATCGTTTTAGAGATAAAAATATAAACATTGCACCCTACTTCAGAAGTAATTTAACAATATTCACGCCAGATAATGACGTTAACTACTAGTTAAGAGATCAAAAACTCGATTACACCTTTTTGGACTGAAGGCATTTAATGTGAGGTGGGTGTGGAATGAGTGGGCGTGGCTTGACAACATGAAGAGTCTTCAGTCCACGAATGGATTCTTCTTCCATGTCTACTATCTAACGTTACAATTCAATCTCTTAAAACCTTCAGTAGTTCTACTGAAAAACGTTTGACTAATTGCTAAGGCTACTGACATGACAAAGGACTGTTAGCTGAGGAAGATGTGACAAATCAACATCTTGATGGGTGTCATTCACTTTTTGTTTGTTTGTTTGTTGTTGTTGTTTACCGTTTTCCATTGTTGTTGTTGTTTACTGTTTTCCATCTCAGTAGCCTTAGGATCATGTATGCAAGTCCGCAAGATTCTATATTGTGTGTGTGTGTGTGTGTGTGTGTGTGTGTGTGTGTGTGTGTGTGTGTGTGTGTGTAAGCATTAGCTTTAGTACACTCACTTTGCGCTCCTTGTCCCCATACTCCAGGCCAAGGGTGTCCATGGCACGGACGATGGCAGCCAAGGACTGGATGGTGTTGCTATATACCACGGGCTTATACTGCTTCACGTCATCTCCAGAGAAGCCATCCTCATGGATAATCCTACACACACACACACACACACACACACACACACATATTAGAGAAAGCAGACATTTCAGGAGACACATGCACAGAGCTATGCGTCTTAATGCCTTATTTCTTTTGCCAGTATTTGTCTTTCCCGGTTGCAATGTCATGTGAACTCTGTGAGAGATCTGAGATTCTTGTACTCTAAGTACCAGACAGATGCAAAGATATAAAAATGATTTTAAAAAAAAATGTTTTTGCAATAAAAATAGGCTTGGTGTGCATGAATAACCCTATGATAATATAAACAAAATCAGTTTGCAAACCCCATCATATGTCTTTGCTTATAAGATCGTAATGTCACTGACTCTAGCATTCATACACTAATTAAATGGTCTCGAACATTGTGTTAATGGTGGTAATATACAGTATATTGGCAAAAGTTTTGGGACGTCTGCCTTTACATGCACATGAACTTTAACGACATCCCATTCTTAATCCATAGGTTTTAATATGGAGTTGGCCCACCCTTTGCAGCCATAACAGCTTTCCACAAGGTTTAGGAGTGTGTTTATGGGAATTTTTGACCATTCTTCTAGAAGCGCAGTTGTGAGGTCAGGCACTGATGTTGGACGAGAAGGTCTGGCTCTCAGTCTCCGCTCTAATTCATCCCAAAGGTGTTCTATCGGGTTGAGGTCAGGACTCTGTGCAGGCCAGTCAAGTTCATCCACACCAAACTCGCTCATCCATGTCTTTATGGACCTTGCTTTGTGCACTGAAGCGCAGTCGTGTTGGAACAGGAAGGGGCCATCCCCAAACTGTTCCCACAAAGTTGGGAGCATGAAATTGTCCAAAATGTCCTGGTATGTTGAAGCATTAAGAGTTCCTTTCACTGGAACTAAGGGGCCAAGCCCAACCCCTGAAAAACAACCCCACACCATAATCCCCCCTCCACCAAACTTTACACTTGGCACAATGCAGTCAGGCAAGTACCGTTCTCCTGGCAACCTCCAAATCCAGACTCGTCCATCGGATTGCCAGACAGAAGCGTGATTCGTCACTCCAGAGAACATATCTCCACTGCTCTAGAGTCCAGTGGAGGCGTGCTTTACACCACTGCATCCGACGCTTTGCATTGCACTTGGTGATGTAAGGCTTGGATGCAGCTGCTCGGCCATGGAAACCCATTCCATGAAGCTCTCTACGCACTGTTCTTGAGCTAATCTGAAGGCCACACGAAGTTTGGAGGTCTGTAGCTATTGACTCTGCAGAAAGCTGGCGACTTCTTCGCACTGCGCTCCTCAGCATGCGCTGACCCCGCTCTGTGATCTTACGTGGCCTACCACTTCGCGGCTGAGTTGCTGTTGTTCCCAATTGCTTCCACTTTGTTATAATACCACTAACAGTTGACCGTGGAATATTTAGTAGTGAGGAAATGTCACGAATGGACTTATTGCACAGGTGGCAACCTATCACGGTACCACGCTTGAATTCACTGAGCTCCTGAGAGCGACCCCTTCCTTCACAAATGTTTGTAGAAGCAGTCTGCATGCCCAGGTGCTTGATTTTATACACCTGTGGCCATGGAAGTGACTGGAACGCCTGAATTCAATGATTTGGAGGGGTGTCCCAATACTTTTGGCAATATAGTGTTTTACTGCAGCACTTCAACTTACTAGAGACATACGATTGGGATGAATATCAGCATCCCAGTCGTTTGCAGCTGATATTAGCCTGAAATCCAGGATCTGTATCAGATCTAATTAGTCATATTCTCCAATCTGATCCACTGACACATTTTATAGCATGAATCAATGTGACATTGTCTGAAAATACAGATCTGGCACATGAACACAGGACACAAACAGTCTCGAGGGATGTCTTAGGTCTTAAATCCTATTCCCAATTTGACGACAGAAGCTTGCAGAGAATCATGATTACTTAGTGGGAGTCAGCATCAGATCAGTATCGGGCATCGTTAGATACTCACAACTCTGATGTCAACGCCATGTCAAGCAGTAAGAAAACGTATGACCAGTGCATCACTAAATTACACTGCAGCTTGAATAGGGACTGCTTTTAGCTTTAAATGAATGCAAAGAAGTTAACATAATTAAGTTCCCATTCTCGGCTGCTCAAAGTGGGGCTAATTATTTGTGTTGGCACTCCATCTCTCTGTATTGCTATTGGGATTCTTACATTCCTTCGGCATATCAAAGTTAGTTTTACCTCTTGCCTGTTGTAATTGTAATTCCAGACCTATAACAATGTAGAATGTTGGTTTGTGCTAATGAGACAAGACTTGGTGTTCACTAAGGAAAGGGACCCAATGCATTAACCTTTCATGAACCCAAAAATTCTTCCAGAGGCAGTTAATGTGTGTGTGTGTGTGTGTGTGTGTGTGTGTGCGCGCTGTCTGAAGCAATCTAAGGATTAAAGGGAAAGTTGAGAGGTCTCCATCCCCATATCTTTCTGTTATTGACGGAATATCTGAACAAAATTGACAGTAAAACGAAAGAAAGTATGAAGTTCAGAGAATGTCATCCTCTCCTGTGACCTCTGATAATCATCTCCGCACTAAAACCGTCTACCTGCCTCATAGAAATGGTGCAAGTCACCAAGATCCACCGCATGTATGTTTATAAAGCTGTTTACACTTACTGCATTTAGTTTACATCGCTCCTGAGACTTAACACATGACTGCTCGTGTAGTGCATTCTCTCTCATGCTCATCTTCTCTCTCTTTCTCTCTCCTGCCGTCTGATTTAATAATTGTGCCATTATCCAATAATGGTTTTATCTGTCTATAATGAAGAGGATTACCTCCCTCTCGTCTAAACCAACTGGGGTATCCAGAAAACCGTATCAGAGGCTTCGTTACTGGGAAGCGTGGGTGTCCACTCTCTCCTTAACCTTCTTTCTTAATTAAAGAAAGTAGGCGTTGAGTATAAGCTGTATTGCTTGAGGGAATCGGTGAGTGAAGGAGCATTTTTGATTCTCTTGATGGATATTGGACTTTAAAACAGCTGCAACATAATTACTTTGTCATTTTACTGTGTGGAAAATGATTTTCAATGGTTTTCAATGATCGTCAGACACAATAATTGGCATTCTGTGCTTCAAGCTTTGACTCGCTGTAAATGGCAAGATTCCATCTCTACTTTACTGATAATTGTGGGAAAAAGAGCGAAAGCAGGGTTAGTTTCACACTTCCGTGGTACACTGGCTGACATTCACAGAAAAGACAAGAGCACAGTGAACAAACAGGTGCACCACAGTGGGTGTATATTTGGTTGCTAAACAATCCCAGGACTTCACATCCATTCAGGTGTGTTACAGTAATAGACACTCATAACATTACTAGAGCGCACACACTATTAAGGAGAACAATACATTTCGGCCAGTAGAAGGCTTGAGCCTGATGATGCTATTAGGAATCTCCAATGAATCCCATTTATAGGGATGAAAATCAAGTTTCTGTTGCCAGGGCATTTTAAAATGGATATTCCAACAGGTTTTTCCGCATAACGTGACAAATTTTGCAGTGAAGCAGCATACTTGGGTGTGCGGGACTTCACGTTTTCCCATCAGGATGTGACTGGCTTGTGAAAAGTGGGAGTTCCAAAACAAACATGGAGATGCTAGCCTGCAGTCAATTGTGGAGGACTACTTGCCAATCACATGACCAGAGGCACAGGAAAAAAAAGACATGAGGCCATGTTTATTTGTGCCTGTATGTGCAGTCAGTACTCATTGAACATCAGTCACTCTCATGAGCATCTTGAGCAACTCAACCTGGAGGTGGAGGTGAAACATGACATAGAATAATTGGTTATAATATTCTTTGGCCCTATGGCAATTCTACCAGCGCAGGAAGATTACGTACAAAGAAGAAGTGATGAGTACAGATGAATATCAGGTTGAATAGTAGGTTCTGACCAAAAACATGAGTTTGTGATTATGAGCCAGAACAGCACATATTTCTATGTTAATCACACAAAATCTTGTCTCATAATCAGCGTTTTCTTTAACATTGTAGTCCCCATGCTACACTACAATATGTTGACTTTGCCAGCTGTAGCCTTCCATGCCTCACATCGTCTTTCAGGGAGACGGGGCTTAAATAGTTTTTGATGTTTTGGACAAAACTCTCTGTCAAATGAACGTTGCTGTTCTTTTGGCTGCTTCCATTAGGGGTCACCACAGCAGATCATTGGTCCGCATGTTTCATTTGGCACAGGTTTTAACCCTCCCATTTTATCCAGGCTAGGGCCCAGCACTGAGAGTACACTCCCAGTGGCTGGGTAGGTTCCCTGCCCGGGAATTGAACCCGGGAGACGGCAGAGAGAGCGCGGCACCTTCAGCCACTAGACCACCTGGGAATCTTCCAAATGAATAAACATAAATATCAGCACAAGCTATAATCTGGAAGGACAGTTAAACATCACCCAACCTTCTCACATTCTGTCATACTTTAGTGCCTCAGTTTAAAAAGAAAAAAAACAAAACGGTCAGCTGGCTAGCTTCCACTGAGCACTGTCTCGCCTTTCTACAGCAGCCACTGTCTTTGGAACATTAGACGTTAAAAACTTGAAATTGATGATGGCTTGTGGACATGATGTGATGACTCTGTATTTCCCATGCCTAGACAATTCTGCTTTCTGCTATTAAGATGTTCTATGTCTCACAGAAACTGTACAGGCCCTTCATTAAACTCACAGAAATTTTAATAAGCAACTGCAATATAAACACATTTTCTTATATTTAATAACTAACAATGAATAATCAAACCAATACTAAATATCACGTCAATATCAACTCCATACTGGAATGTGCAGATGATCAGTCGTATATCATGACATTTAACACGTCCTTTAAAACTGTGCGTGTTCCATTTGAAAGTCAAAAAAAAAAAGGACAGCGGTCATCTAGGGCAAATAGGCCAAATTTCAACACAGCATCCTTTTTTGGCAAAAGCATAATGCTTCTCACAGAACACTTTGAAAATGTGATATGAAAAATGAATAGAGTTACATTACCATTTCATACATTGTACTTTGATCATCCAAATGCAATTTATTCTGTCCAATCCATCAAGGCAGCAGAGAAAAGCTTAGAGCCAAGATGGCGGCACGAGTTTCAGCTGCCAGTGTCTCCATTTCTCTCCACTTAACTCACTGAGTACAGCAGTGCTAGCTTTCTCAAGTAACTCTTCTATTATTCAGGAGCTAAAAATAATGCATGTTTAAGACTTTTTTTTGAAAGTCAAAATATAAATAAGGCCCAGAGCCACTGGTTTTCCAGTCCCAGGAGAAGAAGGGAGAAAAATCGATCTGTTTTCGATACGAGGCTGAAAGAAGAGCTTCACTGACAGGTTTGCTTCCGGATCTATCCTCTCACACATTTAGTCACTAAGCTACTGCTGGAGGACACACTCTGCACATTTTTATGACTATGCAGCTTTGTGTGTGGGAGCTCCCTATGAGGGCCACAACACACTCCTCTATATTTACAGCCCTACTTCCTGAGAACACGATCATTTGTTTACAGTTGACATTCAGGCCCTGATTCTCTCAACATGAGCCTGGAACTGTTTGAAAAGTCATGTAGAGACACGAAGGACACTACAGTGTCCACTGTAAGTAGTGTAGTGTGATTTTAGCCTATTTATCCTGTTACTTCACCATGTACTCTTCCTCTGAAGGAGGATAAAGCTATCACAAAGACACTAACGCAGTGGGCATCATCACTTCTGTACTGGAAGAATGACAAAATAAGATAAAAAGTAAGATAACGCCAGACGCTATCTTTGAACTACCGTTACTTCACATTTAAATGGAATTCATACTTGAAATCTTCAGAGGCAGCCGCTCGTGTATCTGCTAACTGTCAGTAGACATTTGGAGGAAATGTCTCCATTTCTCTGGCTGGCTGTGACAGAGACGTTTTCCTGTTTTAATGTTGCGTGCCCTTTTTAAGAGAAAGAGAACCTACTGCTATTGCTGTTTCTAGCAGTAGGCGCAAACACAACCCCACAAAGGCAGCACTCAGACTTTTACTACAAAAAACAAAACAAAAAAAAACTGAGCAAGACCAAGTCTAAAGCCACGGCCACACTAGAAATTTACTCTTCACATCTTCCTGCTAAATAGGAAACGATCAAGATGGTAGCAAAAGACTAGTGGCAAAGACAAGTCCTCCATTTTGGTACACAGTTAGCAAGCTGCCTGTGGCTGCTTGCAGCTCCTTCTTTCCGAAATTAATCTAGAGATATCAGTCAAGCCTGTACATGTTTCTTGTACACTGGGAGTTTTTTTTTTTCCTCCCTGCAATCTACCTTGCATGCCAACCTAAGCTGGCTGCTAGCAAAATATCTAAATCAGCATCCAAAAACAAACAAAAAAAAAACTTAAAACACATAATCCAGCATGATTACAATATACTGCATTTAAAATATTATATATTATATATATATATATATATATATATATATATTATAGTGGGTTTGGGAAGTATTATATAAAATCTCATTCCTGCACGCTGCTAACATCAGTACTTCCTTTGTGCTTATTATTTAGTAAGATTAATACTGACTCTACCATTCAACATGTAGTACAGCACAGAAAAGTAAAGACACAAGGAACTGAAATTAATGATTCCGCAACACCCATCAAGCGCATTCTCATCTCGCTGTCCGTCCCGTGACTCGCAAACCCATACAATCAGTTAACGTTAAGTAACAATGTTTGAATTTTGTTTATTCGTATATATATTTGCCGTGCCTTGATCCCTCAGCTGTATTCTCAGTTTTCAAGGGGCAAATATCGCGATTATGATTCGCAGAAAATTAATTGTGCACATGCAGATAGCCAACCGAGCTCGCCTCATTCATCGGCCCACTAGTTTCACACCTAAGGCCCACAGGAGCTCTTTGGGGACCATAGGGAGTTTGTGTAAGGCGAGCACTCGTTTTCTCTCTCTCACACTCTCCCTCTCTCTCTCTCTCTCTCTTTGAAAGGAGAGCAGAGGAAGTGCCACCTCAATACGGTGACATGTGGGTGGGTGAGAGACATCGTTCCCGCTACCTCCAGTTCAAAGGAGCTTATTACTGAGCAGGTCTTTAAAAAGGAGAGGAGAAGAGAGTGAGGAGATGAGAGAGAGAGAGAGAGAGAGAGAGAAATTTTATTTATCTCTAATGATTTGGAGAGCCTGTTCTGCTCACTCATGAAGATTTTTATGTTCCTCATCGCTATCTTTCACTTCCCGCGAAAGGGAAAAGAAGCTGACCAGTGGGATATCCTGCTGACAGTTATTATAGAAACATAGACACACAGCGCTCTGTGACCTCTTGCCTGAGCTGACACAGGCACATACACGCTCTCAAAGTTACTCATACACTCTCATTCCCACACACCACTAAGATACAAAGGGCTTGACCCTCAACCCAAGAGATCCGGGTGTTCCAGCCTATCTGAGTGGACACGTAGCAACAACAAAAAAATAAATAAATATGAAAATAGTAAGGCACACATCAGAAATATTCATATAAGGTTAAATTAATTTTGCATAAAACACCTACAACAGAAAGTCACAGTTTAGAAAGCAGGCACATGCAATTATCCAACGAGTGATGCTTTACTGATGCATATGGAAGGAAGAATATCAGGAGATTTTCTCATACACACTCTCCTATCTCTCCCACATTGGTACATGCCATTGGTAAGAACCCCCTTTGTCCCGAGTGGCTGTTTGAGCAGCGCTCCTGTCATCACTCCCACAGGACATAGCTACTTATCTTGTCTTCTGCTCCGCCCGAACATAAGGGCAGTGCTTCTATTTATAACTGCCTCAATCTGAGTCTCTGAGAAAATATTCCGCATCATGCACTCCATCAGCCCAGTGTCCATAATTGTACTGTATTGTTCTGCATGTGAAAATTGTGTCGCCGTCCAAATACTTATGAACTTACGACGGTAAGATACTAGGAGTTAAACACGTTTTACAATGGAACCCGCTGTAAAATCAAAAGCAGTGGTCTGTGTTAAAAGGACAGGTATGGATCTAAACATTAGGGTTTTGATGAGGGTTTTACACTATGTACGCCAGTGTACTTCCACTCCATTCCCCCCCCCCCTCACTTCCCCTCATCCTGTATGAGAGCAAAAATGATGTTAAACAGACCACTGAGTGTTAATACCACGAGGTAGTAGAGGGGACAAGCTAGTTATACAGCCCTTATGGGGAAGTGCTATAAATCTGTCTACAATGTGGGTATGTGTATATATTTCGATTCAAACACTGTACAAACACTGTATCCTTACCCCAATGTGTAAATTATATCATATATAAATAGTGTACTGTGTAATGATATATCATTTTTTTTTATGCTGCAATACTGGAATGTATGCCATTTGGTGGATATATTGCCACATCAGCACACTGCAGTATTTCATCTCCCCTTATCCTATAATCCTGTGTTAAACTGGGTGTGTTGTTAGACAGACCCTAAAATGGATAGTGTATATTGCTCCAGTCTATAAAAGCTCTTTTTGAAGGTTTCAGTAAAACCAGAGCAGCGAAGCTATCTACATATCGACTGTGCGATCAACTTGCTAATAAGGGTGTCACCCTGTCACAGTAAAGCTTATCCTGTTTCACGTCCAGGAACATGAGCTTTGGGAGAATATATTAAGTAGGCATTTAAGTTGGGTATACAGATCCATTTATTCTTCATTAAGGGAAAAAAATGACTTCAATCCCTGCCTTGACTAAAGAGGTCATGTGATGCTGAAATACTGCATCCCTATTCATACATTTCTTACACTGAACTACAGACCTGCCACCAAGAACGCCAAGACTGATGCCCTGTAACCAAAGCGTAACAGCCAAGTTACCATTAAATCAGGAGAATTTCTGTACACACTCCTCGATGGGTCTTACCCCACTGCTATGTATCGTAGGCTATCAAAGTCCCCTATTCCTGCGGTCAGAAGAGCTGTCCAATGTGCCAGCCATCACAAACCGGATGGTTAGCAAACCCGAGTGGCAGCACACGTCCTGACCAGAAGCTGTTCACATGGTATGACTGTCAAAGAAGGTCCTTTGACCATATCTGCCATCAAGAAGGTTAAGTTCCCACCATGTTAACACACATAACACAGGTTTCTTAAATGACAGTAACTATGACCATGTTCTAAAATCGGTCCCACGTGTACCCTCTCAGTGGGTGTAGCCTGGTACTACCTGGTTAACTGGGTTGATCTATTTCAGGAACCTCAGTACTAATATTGAGTTACTGAGTTTACTCTAAGGAGATGCAGGAGTTAGCTTACATATTCACAATTCTTCCAAAGCTAAGTTCTAAAATGGGATTTGTACTCAC